AGAATTATTTTCTTTGTAATAAAAAACAGTTTTCTCTCTAGAAAATAATTTTCTTCAGAAAGAAGACTTTTTTTTAGAAAACAATTTGTTTAAAAAATTTTATTTTTCAAAATTACATAAAATTCAATCATTTTTTTCTTCAATAAAATAAACTTTTCATTCATGTAATAATAAACATAAAAAAATAATAATTGTTCAGTTTTTCTATCGAATAAAAAACAATAATTTTTTCTTTAATAAAATTAAAGAAACTTTACGTCCCATATAAAGATGTTTGTTAAACTTTCTAAAAATAATTGAATTCCCAACAAGAATTTTATTTTCTGCGAAAAATTTCATTATTTATGAAAATAATTGAATTTTTATATAGAATTCAATTAAAATTTCTAAAAATAATTGAATTCCTGTCAAGAATTTTATTATTTATGAAAATAATTGACTTTTAAAAAGAATTTAATTGAAATTTCTAAAAATAATTTATTTTCTGCAAAGAATTTTATTATTTATGAAAATAATTGAATTTCTGCGAAGAATTTTATTATTTACGAAAATAATTGAATTACTATAAAGAACTTTGTTAAAATTTTTAAAAATTATTGAATTCCTGTCAAAATTCTTTTATTATTTATGAAAATAATTGAATTTTTGCGAAGAATTTCAGTATATATGAAAATAATTGAATTTTTATTCAGACTTTTTTCAAAATAATTGAATTCTAGCACCAAATTTAATTAAAATTTTGAGAAATAGTTGAATTTTTTCGAGGAATTTTATAAAACTTTTAAAAAAATTTTTAAAAACGGAAAAAATAATTGATTTAATATAAAAAATAAATTAAATTAACATTTTTATTTACAGTATCGAATTTGAGAAAAAATAGAAAAAAATTGAGAAGTGTGTTTTGAAGAAATTCATAATGAGTTTCGGATTGCATCAAAGGCTCGAACCCTCATTACTATGACATGTGTCAAAAATTTTTTCCTGTTTTTTTTTGTTAGGAAATGAGGATTATTTCACAACTAGGGGACGAAAATTGCACTCTTCCTAGGAAGATCCTTCCTTTATTTCCAAGAATGATAAAAGCCGCAGAACTCTCAGAGTGACACAAATTAAATTCTTTTTCTTTTTGCTTCAAATAATGCCAGTACAGATGATAGCGCATTTAATAATGTCCTGAGTAGGAAAAAAATAGAATATTGCAAATAAATACTAACGTCGTTGTCAGTAAACCAAAACGAGCGAAATTACAACCAAAAAACACGTGATAAGAATTTTTCCTAAAAAGAATAAAATCCTAAAAAGAATTTTTCCAAAATAGAGTAATTCCGAAGAAGAATTTTTCCAAAACAAAAAAATTATTTTCCTAAGAACCATAGAATTAAATTTCAAATTTCGAAATTCGATAATAGGAAATTTGATTTCGATATGGAAACTCAATGAGAGATGAAAGAAGAGAAACGTAGGGAAACTAATTCGACGATTACATTAGAAAAAGAAGCGAATGTTTTTCTTCAATCGAATGAATTTTTTTTTTGATCGAAAATTTGATGAAATTTTTGCACTAAAGAATCATATTTATGATTTACTTTCGGATTGAGTAAGATGCATATATTATAACGGCTGAAATCGCCATTAAGTTTTAGAGGGGCAGAGGAAAAAAAAGAACGGCAAGCGGTGCCGTTGCAAAAACGCGTCTCCGTCGCTGCCGACGAAACACTTCCGAGAATCTCAGACTGCTGGTCTCTTAACGTCGTTCACAATCCTCCCCCATCCCTCGACTTTCGCTTTATCTTTATTTGCCGTATCCGCGGAACGTAGGTATTTATTGCTCTGTTCGTACTTCTCAACCCTTGTGACAAATTGCCTCAACTTTTACGGGTTTTTCAACCCAAAAAGAAAATAAATAAATAAAAATAAGATTTATTCTTTAAAAAAAAAGAGGAAAAAAAATCTTTGGTTTCTTACCTTTACTTGTTCCCACACTTCCTGTCAGAGAATTAAGTCCGGAAGTTTCAATCTAGTTGGTTTATAGTTTTATATTCCACAAAAATATTCCGATAAAATTTTGATGACGAAATTTCCTCTTTTCTTTCATTCGATGAGTTGAAAAGTAAAAATATTCCAGTATATAATTTTGATCCGAATTTGATAGTAAAAAGGAGTAACTTCCATTTTTTCTCTTTTCTTTCGTCCGATGAGCAATTTTGTATTCGCAAAAAAAAAAATTAAATCTTTGGTCCAAATTGTTAGCAAAATACTAATTTCCATTTTCTTTCCTCTCTTTTTCGACGACTTGTATGTAAATATTGATCCAAGAATTTCAATTTCCATTTATCCTCTTCTTATTTGATACCTAAAAACAAAATTTGATTTCAGTACATTCAGTATATTATATAAATATAAATAACAGTTTTATTGAAAATCATAAAAATTGGTAAATTTCTTCATTAAAAAAATATTGTTTCAGTAGAAAATCTCAAAATAACAAAATGGAAACAAGAATAAGTCCTGCGCAAAATTGATTTCTTTTTGATTAATTTCTATAAATGTGAAATCAATTTAAACTGAGATTGAAATTTGCCAGCGGTTTATTACACTTAGCATTCCACGTTTCGGCTTCCTGCAGAATCAAGTGGCAGGAGACCAAGAATTTCAGTTCCGTGAGCTTTAGCGACTCTTTCACTGGTTGCAATTTCCCTTGAAAAATTTATTGCGTGCAGAGATCGAGAACTGAGAATGGAATGAACAAAAGTAGATTGTATGTTTAAAGATAGATTCGTCGATGATGTTATTATATTCAACGAGTGTTTTCTCCCTTCTCAATAATTATTATTGTTTGCCGGAGGAATTGAATTTTCAATTAAAACTCTCTTGAGGCAGAAGAATTGGATTTTCAATTAAAATTTTCGAATGAAGAATTGAATTTTCAATTAAAGCATTTGAAAGAAGAATTGAATCTTCACTAAAAAATTACGAAAAAAAATAGTTTAGAGAAAGAAATATAATGTAGATTTAGAATCAGTGAAACCAATCACGAGTATAGAGAGAAAAAGAAATAGAAAAATAACATATTTTTATTTTCTTTCTTAAAAAAAAGAAGCTTGTGAATTCGTTTTAAATTCTGTAATAAAGTGTTTAAAGAAGGATATTGAACCTTGAGAGCAGTCTCACGTATACCATAAAAGCTTTAACGCCCTGTGTTTATGAGTTCTATGTGAAGAAAACAAACCTATTGGGGCTTTGAATTTTTATTTCTAAATGAACCGTAGTGAATGGTGTCACCAAAAAAAAATTCCCATGGCACAAAATTAAAAGGCACAAAAAATAAGCTGTCGAGCTAATCGACAATTTTATAAACTAATCGGCAAATTAAGTCCACTTTCAAAAGAAAAATACTATTTTGTTAATTTTTAATTTAATTTTACCCTTTTTATTTAAGTGTTATATGATCACTGGCTTCGCGTCGTTAATTAATTTTAAAAAAGGGTCGAAAAAGTAATTTTTGCTCCTTTTTATTAATTAAAAATAATTTTTGCTCCCTTTTATTAATTAAGAGAATTAAAGTCCTTTCAATTAATTTAAAACTGAAGACAAAGTAGTAAAAAAAAGTAGAAAACGAAAAATAAAATTTGACAAAATTACCAATTGTTTCAATTTTTTAAAATTGTTTCGGAGAATTCAATTATCTTCCAAAAATTTTAATTACAATTTTTCAAAAATTTAATTTTTAAATTTGAATTTCTAAATTAAATTAATATTCAAAGCTTAAATAATTTTTTGTTTACTAAATATTTAAAATACCTAGTTATTGTTATTCATTTTTCACAGGAATTGAGATTTTAAATAATTTTATAGTAAAACTTTTTGAAATTTAAGTATTTCTAAATATTTACAGCTGAATTCTTCTAAAATCCAATTATTTTCTACAATTTTAAGTGTAATTAATTTTCATTTTCATAATTTTTCATAAAAAATTTCTAAAAATAATTGAATTCCTGCCAAAAAATTTATTATGTATGAAAAAAATTGAATTTTTATAAAGAATAAATTTAATTACGATTTCTAAAAATAATTGATTTTCATCAATCCTGCCAAGAAGTTTTTTAAAATATTTTAAATAATTGATTTCTTTTCAACATTATATTATAAAATTGAATTCCAGTGAAGATTTTATTATTTATCCTAATAATTGAATTTTTACGAAGAATTTTATGAAAAATTCTTTTTAAATAATTCAATTCGTTTGTGAAATTTTATTAAAATAGTTGATATTGAAAATAATTGAATTTCAGTGATGAATTCTGTTATTTGTGAAAATAATTGAATTCTTGCGAAAAATTGTCTTAAGATTTTTTAGAACAATTATTTTTTTCATTACCTACTACTTAATAAATTTTGTATAAGTTCTTTTTAACTTTCGAATCTTTTATATCAAAATTTCGCATTTTCGTTCTTTTTCTCCCCTAAATGTAAAATACTTTTTAAAAAATTAGATATTTATTTTATTCCCGTGTTTTTATACGATGCCTGGGAATTTTGTTACTAAATTGAAATTTTGTTACTACAATGAAATTTTGTTGCTAAATTGAAATTTTGAAATGAAAAAGCTTCTTTATACGAAAGTTGGTACGAAAGAGAGATTTTGAAATTGTGTTATAGAGTAAAATCTTAAATAGAAAGGGCAGAAGATGGAGAATGAGACAGCGTAACTGACAGGCCAAGTGGATGTAAGTAGATGTGCAACACTTATTTGTCGGCATACAGGGCAAAACTCGAGTCTCCAAGACCGTATCTATGGCTGCATTCCGTGGTGAGAGTCTAGTAAATGATGCCTGACGTTGTCGGCCCCATACGCCTTTCAATCCTCTTATTATTCCCCCCGCTAGAACTTTGCAGCGTTTAATTAAAGCTAAGAAACTACGAAAAACAAAACAAAAGCAAAAAATAATACAAAACATAACTTTTACTATATATTCTTACCAAATTAATTTCCCTTCCAGAGAATAATCCAAATATCGGAGGACAGCAACATCAGCAATCGCAACAGCAACAACAACAACAATATGGTGAGGTGAATCAACTGGGCGGTGTATTCGTAAACGGTCGACCTCTGCCAAATGCCGTTAGAATGAGAATTGTCGAATTAGCTCAACTTGGAATCAGGCCGTGTGACATTTCGAGACAATTGCGAGTCAGTCATGGATGTGTCAGTAAAATTTTAGCTCGTTATCATGAAACTGGAAGTATTTTACCGGGTGCAATTGGCGGCAGTAAACCTCGTGTGACAACGCCAAAGGTCGTTCAATACATAAAGCAATTGAAATCCAAGGATCCGGGAATTTTCGCCTGGGAAATTAGAGATCGATTATTGTCCGATGGTATTTGTGACAAGTACAATGTTCCCTCAGTGTCCAGTATCTCGAGAATATTGAGAAATAAGGTCGGCGCTGCCGCGGCAGTTGCGGCCGCCGCCGCTGCAGCAATTCACCATCATCCGCATCATCATCATCACCATCATCATCTTTACGCAGCGGCCGCCGCGGCTGGAGCTGCTCTCTGTCCTGTTCCATATCCCCCGACGCCTTATCACACCGCACCGCCTTCTGTCACACATCATCATCACCATCATCAAGGTGAGTTGCAAATTTTCCCATCTACTCTTCTTCTTCTTCTTCTTAAAAATCTAAAGAAAAATCAGGCTTCGTACTCGAAACTTCATTATTAAAAAGTATAGCAAAATGTTCCTTAAAGACTGTAAAAAGTGGTAAAAAAAGTCGAAAAATTAAATACGGCAACTCAATTTTTTATAATTTCTAAATTAAATTACATACATTCAAATTTCATTTTATATTTGAAATTAAAATTTTCAAAGATTTCAATTTAAAAATCCTTTGAACTTTAATTATTTTTAAAAAAATCACTCCACAAAACTCCTAATATTTAATTATTAACTAAAATTTTAACTGAAATTCAATTTTAAGAATTCAATTATTCAAATTCAAAAAAATATAATTTAATGAATATTTCTTAAAATTGACTTCTTATATAAAGAATTCTATGAAATTTTTTTAAAAATATACGCAATTCAATTATTTCGAAGAATTTTAATAAAATTTTTGAAAATAATTTAATTCTTGCGAAGTTTTTTATTACTTAAGAAAATAATTGAATTTTTATAAAGAATTTTTTCAAATTTTTTAAAAATAATTGAATTCTTGCGAAGAATTTTACTATTTATAAAAATAATTGAATTTTTGCGAAGAATTTTACTATTTATAAAAATAATTGAATTTTTGCGAAGATTTTTACTCTATATATGAAAATAATTGAATTTTTCAGAAGAATTTTATTATTTTTGAAAGTAATTGATTTTTTATTAAGAATTTAAAAAAAAAATTTTAAAATCATTTAATTTTTGCTAAGAATTTATCTATTTATGAAAATAATTGAATTTTTGCAAAGAATTTTTCAAATTTTTTAAAAATAATTGAATTCTTGCGAAGAAGAATTTTACTATTTATAAAAATAATTGAATTTTTGAGAAGAATTTTATTAAACTTTCAGAAAATAATTGAATTCTAGTGAAGAATTTTACTATTTATGAAAATAATTGAATTTTTGAGAAGAATTTTAACTTTTATCAAAATAATTGAATTTTTGCGAAGAATTTTATTAAACTTTTTGAAAATAATTGAATTATTTTGTGAAATTCTATTGAAATCGTAGATATTAAAAATAATTGAAATACTGCGATGAGTTTAATTAGTTATGAAAATAATTGAATTTTTGCAAAGAATTTCATTCAAATTTTGAAAAAATAATTGAAATCTAGCGAAGAAGTTTATTAACTTTTTTTTTAAATAATTGAATTCTTGCGAAGATTTTTATAAAAATTTTTAAATAATTGATTTTTTTCTAAGAATTTTATGAAAATTGTGTTTAAAATAATAGAATTCCTTGTGAAAAATTTATTATTGAAGGAAATAATTATTGAATATTTCCAAAAAATGTTATGAAATTTTTTTAAAATAAATTCTTTTTTTTTATTTTCGTTTTTAATATTAAAGGTATAAAAGTTTTTTATTAAAATGGTAGATATTTTAACAGATATTAAAATAGTAGATTATTGAATTTCAAAAAAATTTTTTGATAAGAATTGAATTGTTTGAAAGAATTTTATTAAAATTTTTTTCAATTATTGTTTCTAAGAATTTTATTTAAATTTTTGAGAGTAATTTTTCTATTTCAACTATTAACGAATTTATAATTTTCTATAGAAAATTTTTTATTTCAATTGTTAGCTGAATTAAAACAGTGTAAATTTTTAAAAAAAGAAAAAAAGTAGCTTTTAGTGTCACAAATCTAAAAAAGTATAAAAATAGTAGCGAATCGTAAAAAAAGTAGTAAATAGTAGGTTTTTTGTATAGATGAGTACGAAGCCTGAAAAAATGAAAATTTACCTCCGTCTAGAAGAGTAGATCCAATATTTCCGTCAGCCACTGCAACTGAAAGTCTCGATTCAGTTTTAGCTGTGAGCTCGCGGAGTCTGACGGAACAGCCTCTTTTTCTTCCTCATCCGTAATTCCACTGCGTTTCCAGTGGGCTTAACAACTGCAAGTACGGGGAGTAAACTCTCAACGCCATCGCCACCGACGACGACAACATCGGCAAATTCTCTTGGACATCATCAGACGAATTATGGAGTCCATTGGCCGAGTTCGCACTCCGTTCACGATATTCTCTCATCATCGGTTCCATTAGTATCGAACTCCACTGCTACATCGTCGGCCCTCTGTTCGATTAACCAAAATCATCATTTAAACAATAATAATAATAATAGTCATCATCACAATAATAATAGTAGTGGTGGCAGTAGCAGTAGTATTGCCAGTAATAATGACGAATCATCACCTTCGAATTATCATTATCATCAACAGTATTACGCGTCCGCACTCTATCACCATCATCATCATCATCGCGGTCATTCGGGTCTCGTTCCCTCCAGTACTGTCCAACTTCAATCATCCATGAATAATTTAAGTCAACCAGCCAGTCCCTGTAATTAAAATAATGTAAATATTATTTAATTCAAGCAAAAATTTATTCAATTTTCAAGAATCAATTAATTAATAATCCTCGGATCGACTTTAATTTTTTATCTTCAATTTTCTCGAATAATTTCAGAGTCAAAATTTAATTAAAAGAAAAATGTTCACTTATCAACTTATTAACTAATTAATTTCACGTACTATAAAAATCGTAATAAATCGATTCGATGGAAAGAAAAATTAATTTCGAATAATTAATTAAATTAAATTCTGTTAAAGTAAATTAATTAATTAATTCTGTCAATTAAATTTTGAACTAATGATAATAAAAATTATCAAATAATTAATTTATTAATAAAAAATTCCCTGTGAATGTATAAATTCTGTAAATCTAAATTATTTGCTAAAAAAACAATTTATTGATCACAACGTTCTTAAAAATTCTATAAGAAAATATTTAATTAAAATTTATTTAAAAATTATAAATAAAAAAAGATTCTTTTATTTTGACTCGTTTTTCTCTCTCAAACGAAAAATTCTTTAATTCTTTAATTTAGTGCGATTTTACACCAAAGATTAATATTTAGTGAAAATAATAATTTTTTTTTATAATAAAGAACATTGCAAAAATTTATTTAAATTATGAACAAAGAAACATTTCTATTTACTTCGAAATTTATTGCAACAATGTGTATAAAAGTTTGTAAACTCGTAATTTTCCTGATATCTTCTACATTGAAAAATGATTTCATTAGATTTCTGTCTTCTTAAACTCAATGGTGCCTAACTGATGAGTGTAAGAAAATTCGTTTAAGCAATTCCTAAAGATCTGCCAAAGTACTTGGTCCAAATTCAAAATGAAATTTGATGATTTTCATTTGCAGAAAATACATTTTTCTTTATACATATCTATACTAAACTTATTCAAATATATATGCTTGAGGAGTTACGAAATTTGAAGAATGATATGTGAAACAATTTTTGATAATTTTGTGGCATATGGAAAGCGCGTGCCTTGTAAACTGCACTCGTGCGTTAAATTGAAAACTTAAAAGTTGAAAGCGCATCGATCAATTGAAACGGAAGTGTTTGTCAAAGAAAAAAAAAATTCCTAAAACTATTCAAGATGGAAAATTTTGTCATGAAATCTGTTTTCATTTAAGTTTCCCAATTAAGTTGTGTGTCAATCAAAAGTAGATTTATTTTTATTCCCCTAGAGAAATAGAAAAAAATTCCACAACTATATTGACTTTGAAATGAGGAAAATAATTTTAATTATTTTCTAATAAAGACAGAAAATTAATTTTTCTATATTTTTAATTTGAAAAAATACATTGAAATTAGTATTTTCTGAGAAAACAAAATTATTTCTCTTTTTTTAATTTGATTGAATTTTTAATTAAATTCAATTCATAATTAAAAAATACTAACGATTTAAATGGTTCATTTTGGAATTTTTCGACAATTAACGATTTTGTTAATTTTTCCTTATCTTTTGCTTTTAATTTCAATTTATTTTCGATTCTTCAAATAATTAATTTTTTTTGACAAACTTCTTCAATTTTATATGCAATTTCCTATTTTTGTTTTTGAGAAAAAACTATGTATATAATAAATTTTAAGTACGACTGTTTATAAAAGAAAAAAGATGTAAATATTGAATGCTTGGTCCAAGCTCAAAAAATATGGACAAATAATAACGAATTGACTATTTTGGTATATATTTTATTGCCAGAAGCAAAAAAATATGCGCCGTCTAAATAAATATTTATGAGCGTATAATTTTAAGACAATTATATAATAATATAGTGATTTATAGAAAAATTGATTTACACTGTACGGCAAAAATGTATATATTACCGATTATAATTGTAAGAGAAAAGAAGTGCCTTTAAAGATATAGTGATATTTATTCGGCAGTGAGACAATATTTTAAATATTCATTGAATAAATGTTTTTTCACAATTTAAAATCAAATTTTTATTAATTTACCAACAGAAAAATGAAAGAAAACTGTTTTTTTTAATTCTTTTCTCTGAATAATCTAGTTTTCTTTATTAATAAGTTGATTTTTTTATTTTTTCTCTTCAGGTTTCAAGAAAAACTAAATTTTGTTTTCCCTAACTTTTCCCTGATTTCCAGACTGAATTTTGACTTTTTCTCTTATCATAAATATTTTTTGAAAATCGTTACTGTAACTATTTTTACATTATCAAGATTTCAATTATTTTCTAGAATTTTTAACTAAAATTCTTCTCTAAATCAATTATTTTTGAAAATTTTCGAGTTTTTTAAGAATTCAATTATTCAAAGAAAACAAAAGTTCAACTAAATTATTTCTGAAATTTATTGTTTACAATTCAATTTTATGAAATTTCAATTATTGGAGAATGTTTTCAATTAAAAGATATATTCAAAAATTTAACTATTTTTAAAAGTTTTACATAAATTTTTCAAACTAGAAAATTGAAAATTATGAATTAAAACTATTCAAAATTTAAATTTTGTAAAATTTTAACCTGTAATCTTTTAAAATTCAATTATTTTTGGACTTTCTAAGTAAATTCAATTATTTATAAAAACTTACGCCTTTAAAACTCTTTTAACTCTTCTGAAATTCAATTCCTTTTGGACTTTTCTTAGTAAATTCAATTATTTATAAAAATTGTAAACGCAACTTACTCTTCTAAAATTCAATTATTTTTGGACATTTTTTAGTAAATCTAATTATTTATAAAAATTGTAAACGCAACTCTTCTAAAATTCTATTATTTTTGGACTTTTTTTTAGTAAATTCAATTACTTATAAAAATTGTAAACGCAACTCTTCTAAAATTCAATTATTTTTGGACTTTTTTTTAGTAAATTAAATTATTTATAAAAATTATAAACGCAACTCTTCTTAAAATCAATTATTTTTGGATTTTTTAAGTAAAAAATGATTTGGCAATTAATTTATAAAAGTAATAATTTTGATAGTCAAAAATAGAAAAAAACCTAAGGTTTTTCATTAAAAGTTGTAGTGACTACAAAGTTTATAAATGAAACAAAAAAGAATTCAAAAAAATATTAAATTTTTTTAATATATTTTTAATTGTTACTGGAGAAAAGCCAAAAGCCAAAATCTAAAATTTTTCTTAAGAATTCTAAAAATTTAATGTTTTTCAGTAATTTTTACAAAATTCACTAACTTTTCTCTGATTTCCCTGATTTGTGTCAACGCTTTCCTTTTAATTTGATTTCATTTGATTCTCGATTAATAAGTTTTCATTTTCATTTTAATTTAATTCTCGATTAGCAAGTTAGGTAAATTTTTACTTTTCTTATATTTAATTTAATTTAATTTTACCTCATTTATCATCTTTTATTGAAGTTCGCTTTTAACAATCAAAAGTATTTTCAAACTATTTTCAAATCAAATAGCTTTAAAAATTTTATAATTAGAATAGTAATAATAGTATAGTAACTAGAGTAGAAATGAAAAATTTTGACTAAATCTCAAATTTAACCACATGTATATAGAAAAGTGTTGTAAAAAAAGCATATGCGTGAGGAGATGTGCGTAATAAGGACGGTGCGGCGCGCCAAGCCGTCCCTTTGAAATACGAATATTCCTTCAACTCCGCCCTAAGATTCTCTATCACATATTATATAGTCGCGCTCAAAGAAAAGGCAAAAGGCTATACTAGAACTAACCCAGAGCTTACGTGCTCGTTTTCACTGAAACATCGTTTCGGCTTTTTTAAGCACACTCAAAACACATCCCCCCCGATTTCATTTCATTACCGAGAAAGTAAATAGAAAAACAAAAAATAAATCAATTTCTATTAATTACCCTCTTAATGTCAATATAATCAACTTACCAAAATATATTCGTTTTTGTTTCATTTTTTGTAGAATTTTTGTCTTTTTTCCTATTAATTTCTTCTCGATCTTTTTGTATTGTCCTCCTTTGATTTTTTTTAAATATTCTCTTCTCAATTCGCTTCTTCTTATGGATTTTTAAAATTCTTTTCGCTCCTTTTCTTTTTCATAATTTTTTTTTATTTTTCAAAACATTTTTCTTTCGACTCTTTTCTTCTTTGTAATTTTTATCATTTTTTTCAATATTTTCTTTTTGTCCTTTTCAGTTTTCGAAATCTACAAAAAATTTTCGGTTCTTTTGAATTTTTCATTTTCCTCTTCGTTATTTTTCTTCTTCTTTTTTCAAATATTTTCTTCTTCGTTTTCAGTTTTTCAAATCTACAAAAAAATTCCATACTCGATAAATTTGAACAAATTATTGTAAATTATTAAAATAGTGATAGAATATCACAACAGTAAAATTTAAAAAAGGTACAATTTCGATTTTTTCTCCTCAAATGTAAATTTAATTTACATTTGAGGAGAAAATTTGAATGTCACGGTCCCTGTTTGCAAATTAAATTAATAAATATAGTGGGAAATATAATAATTATTGTCGAGTGTAATTATTTACCGCAGGTAAGTAGACATATTCTCCTTTGAAATTAAAAGGGAAAAAAATACTTTTCCCAAAGAGTTCTGGTCTGGTGGTGAGCAATGTAAATTTGTGTAATTTGTAGACAGCACGCGACGTCTGTTTTGACCCATGTACATTTCGTTTCTGCGGATGCGCTCCGGTCAATTAGTTCGGGTGCAGTGATGAAGGAGAGGTAATAAATCAGCGGCTGAATAAAGCCATTGCCGAAAATGCGAAACAAAGTCTCGATTATTGAAGGAATTTTAAGTCCAAATTGTTTTATGTTTCAAAACTGAAAAAGAGAAATTAATTTTAGAGGAGAATTCTAAATTAAATTTTATTCAAATAAATTATTTTTCACAATTTAATTATTTTAAAAATTTAATCAAATTCGTTGTAAGAATTCAATTATTATCATAAATAATAAAAATTTTTCTTAGGATTTAAATTATTTTTAATACAATTTTAAATTAATTCTTCCATGACGAGTTTTATTCATGAAAATAATTGAATCTTTGGAAACAATTTTATTATTTATAAAAATAATTGAATTATTGTGAAGAAATTTTTAAAAAAATTTGTAAATATTTAAACTTCTATGAAATTTTTATTATTTATGAAAATAATTGAATTTTGGAGAAGAATTT